GAGAGAGAGAGACAGAGAGAGAGAGAGACAGAGAGAGAGAGAGAGAGAGAGAGAGAGAGAGAGAGAGAGAGACAGAGAGAGAGAGAGAGAGAGACGAGAGAGGAGAGAGAGAGAGAGAGAGAGAGAGAGAGAGAGAGAGAGAGAGAGGAGAGAGAGAGAGAGAGAGAGAGAGAGAGAGCACGAGAGAGAGAGGAGGAGAGAGATGAGAGAGAGAGAGAGAGAGAGAGAGAGAGAGAGAATAGCGAGAGAAAAGAAAGCGAGAAAACTTATTTGTTTGTGATGATTCACGGTGACGTCTGCCTTTGTGCTTGCAGAACCCGCCCAACTTCCTTGTGGCCTCTGACCTGTATAGTCACGTAAGCCCCGTCGTTGTCGTGCCGCCGCAGGATGACGATCGGGAGTCTATCGTCGAAGGCTCCCTGGTCGACGCGGAGGTGCCAGTGAGTGTGCTGCATGGGGGGGGGGGGTCGACGCCAAGGCCGTACGCCAGGAAATTTTCTGTAGGGGGCAAATATGCAGGACATTTTCTGTAGGGGCGGGCAAAGGTACTCCCCACGCCCTCTATTGCCTATTTGTCCCATTAAAAGGCATACTCTGAAAATCTCTAGGGGGGGTGGGCAACTGCCCCTGCTGCCCCCCTGCTGTGTACGGCCCTGGTCGACGCTACTGTGTGTAGTGATGAATATCAGCTTATTCACAGTGTGATTCGTGTCGACACACAAACAAATAGATGGTGTCCATTTCGAGCACGTCCTTACATTAATGTGAGATAATTAATGTATATGATCAGGGTGCATTATCCGTTTATGTCAATCGAGGAGGAACGAAAGAGGAAGGAGAAAACAGAATAGGAAAAGGGTAAGAGAAGGAGGGAAAGAAGAATGGAGAGTTGAAAGAAGGGAAGAGGAGTATAGTGCCATGTATTTAATTGAACAGTGGTATTCATGGACAGGAAGCGGCATGCGTTACCGCGGTTACACCGTGATGTCGTGATAACTTTGTAACGTTTGTTCTGCGCAGCCTCCTAGCGCTCAGCTGCAGGTGATGTACAACGAGCAAAACCTGGTCGACCTCACCATCCCAGCAGACCAGCGACACAACGGTGCCTCCTCGCCGTCGGACGTCGATCGCGAGAAGTGAGAGCTTTGTGATTGTGGTTATTGTGCGGCGGTGCATGAGGAGGGAGGGAGCGTGTGGGAGGGGGTGCCACACTAGGCCCTAATAAGGAAATTAAAGTAGCTAATCCCTTTTGGAAGGATGTTATAGATGCATGGAAAGATTTTAATAATAACATTGTACCAGGCTCTATAGAGGAATGTCTTAGCGAATCCATATGGTACAACAGACAAATCAACTTGGAGTTCATTAAGCAATGGTACAGTAGAGGGATTAGACACATTAGAGACATACTCCACATAGATGGACACTTTCTTACCAAAGAAGAACTAAAAAATAAATTTAATATACAATGTACTTTTATTGACTACGAGAGACTGATAAAATCAATACCAGCTGAATGGAAATCTATTTTAAACATAAAAGAGATGCAAATTTATGGACCAAACTACTCACCCTTTGAAAATAATTATAAGTACCTAAAAGGATGTAAACATTTCACAAACATTTTAAAGGGAAACAATTATATGGTGTGTCAAAAGCGCAAGAGAATGTGCATAAATCTAGATGTCACAAATAAACAAGATTTTTGCGTCAAAGGTATATAGGTTACCCTTTGAGGTGACTCTGGATACAAATCTTAGGTATTTTCAATACCAGATATTGTATAGGATTATTGCCCTAACAAATAGATACTACATTTAATTGAAAATTGTGGACAGTGATTTATGTACGTTTTGTAGCAGGGAGTGCGAGACTATTACCGCACTTATTTGTTGAATGGTGAAAAAGTTGTAAATGTATGTGTCTGAGCCTACAGCGATGGATGGGAAAATTGTGGTTATCATAACATTCGATTTTCGAAGAGAGATATTATTATAGGGTCCGAAAATGATATTATAATCAACCTTATAATTTTTGAGCTGTAAATTTACTATCTACAATGTAAGATCAGCGGGGTAAAAATCCAACCATGGCTGCAGCCAGGGCACATATAAAAAAGTATTATGAACACAGAAAAGTACATAGCAAATATTAATAATAATCTGGAAAAATTTTATGGTAAATGGTCAGCTGTTTATAATTCTCTGTAAGGAAAAGTCGCCTACCCTGTACTACTGTTGAACCTATATGCACACGTATATCTTTGTATTAATATACAATAATCGAGAATGATATATAGGATAGAATACCATGTAATAGATACCAACTCTTCTCTGTATGTATGTACTGTATATAATCATGGTTCTGGAAATAAAGCATTATAAAAAATAAAAATAAAAAAAAAGGAGGGAGGGAGCGAAGAGGGGGGTTGGAAAGAAGCATAGGAGAGAAGGAGGGAAGGCGAGAGAGAAGGTGGAGGGAGGAGGAGGAAGGGAGGGAGAGATGGAGGGTCAGAAAGGGAGGGAGGTTCAGGGAGAGAGAGAGAGAGAGAGAGAGAGAGAGAGAGAGAGAGAGAGAGATAGAGAGAGAGGGAGGGAGAGAGAGAGATAAAGATAGAGATAGAGATAGATAGAGGGAAGGAGGGAGGGAGGGAGTAAACTGGCGTCATTCAGCAGAAAGAGAGCACGCTCGCGAGATGCCTTTGCAATACTGCATTCATTCAGCAGTAACACGAGTACAATTACTCTCTCTGTATTACAGGGATCAGTTGATAGAGTCACTGATGAGACAGATAGAGAGGTTAAAGCAGGAGATCCACAGGTTGAAGGCAGAGCATCAGCAGATGGTTGATCAGCTACGCGCGACCATCTCTGACCTGCAGGCCGAGTGTGTACAGAACAAGCAGCTGGTAGAGCAAGCATACAACGTAAGTTCCCTTCGCAGCCAATCGTGTGTTACAGTGAAACCTGTATCGGAGCACACCTCTATATAACAGACATGACGCTATAACCAGGCGCGGATTTAGGCCGGTTTGCACCGGTTTCCAGAAACCGGTCACAGCCCTCAAAATTTACCAGAATGCACCAAATATAGCCTAATTTAAAAAAAATTAGAACAACAGTCGAGTTAAACTTAATGTAACAGCACAGTTGCCTGAATAGATATGAATTTCTTTCTTTTTCTTTAAATTCTTTGCTTTCTAGGATAATGAGGATCTGAAAAAGCAGGTAACATCTGGATCAGCGCAACAGACAACAGCCTACCAAACTCTGGTGGTTAAACTTGCCAACATTGAAAGTCAGTATACCCACTAAGATTTTAATAACAATTCAACAAAACAGTGTGCATTTTATATTAATTTTTCTTATAAATAATACATATTAAGTATTTGTATCTAGTAAAATGCTATTTCTTGTTCTGTTTGTTTCTGTTTAAAAACAATTTAAATTCTAATTGGTATTGCATTTACAGCAAAGTCAAAGACAAATGAAGAGAAATTTCACAAAATGAAAGATGTTTACAACAAGCTGAGAGAGGAACATATTAAGCTGTTGAGAACTGTGAGTAGCAGGCAGTGATAGATGCATAAGATTCAATCATCCATATTATATATATATATGATCACAAAATGACTCAAATTTTTCTATTCAACTTTCAGCATGCAGAGGTCAGCAAGAGTTTAAATGCGACCAAAACCAAGAAGGAGGAAGATGCTAATACGAGAAAGGTGAGTGTGAATTGTATTTCCTTCCCTACAGTGAATTCAAAACATGCATGTTATTAGAAATGTTAACTTAAATATTATTTAAAAAAAACGAAATTCGATTTTCTTAACGCAGACTATGGTGAAGGTTGCTGTTGCTAATTACAGAAGATTACATGTGTAGCCGTTGATTTCATTTTCATGAGTTGGTATAGGAGGAGGAGGAAGAGATGTGAACATGTGATACATGACCATACATGTGATACATGACCATACATGTGATACATGTGACCATACATGTGATACATGTGACCATACATGTGTATCATACATACGTGATACATGTGATACATGACCATACATGTGATACATGTGACCATACATGTGTATCATACGTGATACATGTGATACATGACCTGTTGTCGTTCCCTTCATAGTTGTTCGCGCAGATGAATCTAGTTTCTGTGTTGTGTGTGTGTAATCGTGGCGGATTACATGCCTAAGCTGTTGTTGCATTTGTCACGACTAGGAGGTGGAGGAAGAGTTGATGAGACTGAAAGCGCAGCATGTGGCAGCTGAGCAGATGCAGCAAGCTGCTAGCAACAAGGACAAGGAGCTGAGTGATGCACTCACCAGCAGGTCTTACCTGGAACAGAAAGTTCAGGTCTCTCCTTTCTTTCTTTTCTCTTATATATATATATACATATATATATATATATATATATATTTATTTATTGTTTATTTATTTATAAGCCCCTAGACGTGGCCTAGCAGGCTGAGCTGTCTTCCTTCGCCCTCACTAGGCTCAAGATATTTTTACTCTCTGCTATTAAATGCCACTTTCATCCCCGATATATATAAGATAAGTGCAACCCCATTATAATGCTATGGTTGGGGTTCATAAAATGTCATCGCGAAAACAGTGGGGTTGCACTAAATCGGGGTTATATATACGTGGCTATATAAGAGCAAAAAAAGGGGCCCAACGACTCTTCGCGTTATATTGGAATTCGAGTTAAATCGGGGTTCCACTGTATGGTATATATACAAAAGTGATGAAAACAAAATCCATTTCCATTTTCCTCATGTTAGTCATCGTCTATGATATTTACGTCTGGAGCATGTTATACGTCTTGGGAACCTTTCCTAAACTTGCTTGCTGCTAAAGTTTGTCTTACTGAATGTTGTATCGCGTCTTAACTTCTCCTTGTCACGATATCCCGGTGGTAGGAGCTAGAGAGCCAGATGTCGGTACTGAAGCAGGAGAAGGACACTCTGCTGGAGGAGTCTGCATCACTCGGCAACGACAACGCAGAGATTCACGAAGAATTGAAGAAAGTCATATCAGAGAAGATGCTTCTGACAGCAGAGAAGACAGGTGTGTGTGTGTGTGTGCTCCTTCTCTCTATTTCTCTCACTCCTTGTCTCTCTCTCTCTCTCTCTCTCTCTCGCTCTCTCCCTTTATTTCTCTTACTCCTCTCTCTCTCTCTCTCTCTCTCTCTCGCTCTCTCCCTTTATTTCTCTTACTCCTCTCTCTCTCTCTCTCTCTCCTCTTTCACACCCACACACTTTTCATCCCGCGCTCTGTTGCTTTTTCTCGGTATATTTATCTTCTGCTCGTTCTCTTCCGCACGCTGTTTATCTCCAACTCAACTGCAAATTCGCACGTGCCAACTATTCATCGATTACTTTCATGACACTGTCGTGGCGTTTTGTGTCATGTTTTCTTGTAATAAAGATTTTACTACTGCTATACGATGCAGAGTTGGAGGACCAGCTGGAGAGGTTGGCTGCAGAGAGGAGTAGTCTGGTTGAGGAGAATAACCTGTTGACGAGTGAGTTGGGGAGAAGCCAGGCAGAGAGGAAGCAGCAGGAGGCGGATGCAGAGAGGCAGCTACTCGAGGCTCAGCTCCAACTCTTGGGTACATCGTTCATCCGCTTGTTGCATCGCAATGAGGCATGCCTCAATGTCTCACTGTCACATATCTCCGTGAAAGCCTCAATGTCTCACTGTCACATATCTCAGTGCAGGCCTCAGTGTCTCACTGTCACGTATCTCAGTGCAGGTCTCAATGCTTACATTGGCACATATCTCAGTGCAGGCCTCAATGTATACCATAGCTTGAGGCATAAATCAATGCATTCCTTCGGGCATGTATTAATAATATATACCTCCGTGCATGCCTTGGTACATTCCTTGATGAATACCTCAATGCATGCCTTGGTGCATTCCTTAATGCATTCTTCAATGCATGCCTTGGTGCATACATTGATGATTACACGCTTGCACGCTTTAACATATACATTAGCGTGCCTTTGAACGAATACCACTGCTTCACCCATTTGTTGATTCATATTTGCTCATCTATTAGTGGAAATGTGGCTACCGAGGCAAAATGTTACTGGTAAACATGAACCCTGACTGGTAACTCTACTGCGACATGCTATTGCATGTTGTTTTCGTTTCTCGTTACAGCGAAGGGAGCAGCCGAGGCGGAGGCTGTTGTACGGGACTGTCTGGAGCAGTTTGACAACCCGCAGCATGCGACGATCACGTGCACACCTGAGTACCTGCTCACACGCACCGAGTATCTCTCTCCGTCCCTCACCAGATTCAGAGAGCAGTTTAAAAGCTTTCGTGAGAAGCCAGCCGGTAAGCTTGCCAAGTCTGTAGGATGGGAACCCGCTGTGAGCCACCTAGCTCTTACGAACCTGGGGCAGGCTGTCAGAAACAAAATTAGTCTCAATATTTGTCTTATCGTTAGCCTTGTCTCAAAGTTATGGGTCAAATGGTAAAGTTATGAGTATCTCAAAAGCAGTATGTAGATGTCTGGTCTACAAGAGAAATGTTAAGACTAATGTTAAGACACAGACTGTTGTTTCTGACAATAGGCCCCTGTCTCTGTGTGTCTACGTCAGCTTAAATTGCTTCGTCTTCTGCCGTGTGTTGTGAGAATGGGTTGCTTTTACAAGTAGCTGAGATGGTTGTGTCTGTCAACAGACAAACGTATTAACGTGTGACTTGGAACTGGCTCTCTCAACCTCCATCTTCTATTGACGTGTGTTCTACCTGCTGCACATACACATATCACACCTATCAAACGCTTCGTCTGCGTGCGGCTGCGGGGAGGACCAGACTATGGAACATCTCCATGAAACAATGCCCCCTATTACCAGAGCCCTGTAGACCTGGAGACCTTGAGGCTTTCAACCACTGTGCCAGGTCCTGTGTGCTGCAGTGGCTAGGTCGAGTGTAGTGTAGTGACCCAAGAAGAAGAAGAAGGAGACGAAGAAGAAGAAGAAGAAGAAGAAGAAGAAGAAGAAAGAAGAAAAAGAAGAAGAAGAAGAAGAAGAAGAAGAAGAAGAAGAGGAAGAAAAAGAAGACGAAGTAGAAGAAGAAGAAAAAAAGAAGACGAAGTAGAAGAAGAAGAAGAAGAAGAAGAAGAAGAAGAAGAAAAAGAACCCTTCGTCTGCCAGTGTATAGAAGACACATGCATGCAAGCTTACTAATTTTCGAACTGCTTTTCTATGTTATTGCAACAGATGCTGGAGCGCTCATGTGTTCGATGACGATGTTCGCTCACCTGATGGGTGACTGCCTTATCCAGGGCAAGGCCACGTCACACCTGGCAGATATAGACAAAGAGCAAGGTGCGTGGCTGCATCAACGCGCAACGAATTCAAACAAAGATATGTAATTTAAAACAAAATAATACAAAATACACATTTAACATAATTAACATGCTTTAATTTTTATACAATGCTGATACTCTAAGCACTTTTAGGAAAGTTCTAGGTTAATTAATATTTATATTTTATTGGCAGAGCTGGTGAATACATGTCGACAAGTTGGAGCAGAAACGATCTCGGCATTTACATTGTTGAAGAACAAAGGTAGTCCAGGGAATATATGTCTCTCTATTTCTCTATTTCTGCACGTTTTTTATTTTTGATATTTCACTGGTTCGTAAATGCTTGTAGAGCACTATGTGAATTTAGTGAATTAGGGTTAAGCGTTGCTCTCCTTGTACTGGCTGACACTCAAGGCTGCATCATGTTCACTATAGTGTACAGTGTGTATGTGTAGAGTGGAAACTACGTGATGAGTGAGAGACTGTCCATGGAAAATCGTAGAGGAAGACACTAAGACGTGAAGTGTTTATGTAATAAAGTAGCTTTATTCGATATACTGAAGCACGGCAGGTGTGGCACCCACCACACCCAAGCCTGACTCTCTCTTTCTCTCTCTCTCTCTCTCTCTCGCTCGCTCTCTCTCTCTCTCTCTCTCTCTCTCTCTCT